ACCTGAGACTGGAAAAGCCGGTGTTCATGGTGCCTGTCACTACCAGAACCAATGAGTAGAGACAAAGACTGAATTTTTATGGGCATTTTATTCAGATGCTGGCAATCTGAGAAGATGATGGGTTATGTACCCTCAAAAACCATCTTAACATCTCATCTCAAGCTGAAGTTTTTATAAAGAGAAGAAAGAGTAGGTAACTGGTTTGGGAAAAGGGTTAACTGGATAAGAGTTGCATTCCAGTGGTGATTTTCTTAGTACTTCTTTATCTGTTGATCGAGAATTCTTTATCTGCATCCCTCGCTGGAACAGAATGGCTCAAATACTATCTCCCCTGAGGCACAGGGCTAAATTGCTTGTCCACCTCCTGGAGTCAGTGTCATATTCCAGTTCCTAGAATAATAGTTTTCCACAAGCTTTAATCACTTAAGCCTATCAACTATGACTGAAGCCAAAATCTTTCATTCTTGACTTCCCCTATTTCACCTACTGATATGAAACACAGGTTTCCTGAGGTCCCCACTTTATTTTAGCCTGGTTCATTTCCTTGCTGCCTAAATGTATTACTAGCATTCTCCTAACTCCAAGGTGCCAATTCCAGATAATTTTATTGTTCCCTATCAAGCAAAATATCTCTTGAGTTGGTTTTATACCAGCCCATTTGTACCATTTCCTAGCCCCCCCCCACCATCTTTTTCTTAATCCTCCACATTCATCTAGGTTTTGGGTACCACACTCTTTGTCTTTCTCCCCCACTGAATTCCCGCAGAAAATTCAATGCCTTCATGAATGAGCCCATTTACTACTATAGTATGGACCCAAAAAAGCGGCTCTATACAAACTAACCTTAAGGGCAATCTGATCATAAATTTGTAACAGGGTAGGTCATGGTGGGTAACCACACCCCAGGCATATAACTTTTTAGTAAAAGGTTTATTTTTGCCTTAAGCAAGTCCTATTCTCTGTTTCTGTACATCTAGGTTAACACATCTTTGAAATAAGCCATAATCACCTTCAAAGAAATATACAGTCTTGTTAACTATCCTGTAATCCAATCCCTGCCTTGCTTTCTCCCAACTTCATGTAGGCTTTCTCCTTTTCATCTTAATTTCAAATGCAACGCATTTGAGATCTTGCTCCCTGGTATATGTTGTTAGTCTGGCTCAAAGAAACTCATAAAAATTCTCTACAGGTTTGGATGTGCTATAGTCTATTCAATGCTATGGTTTCTCTTCTAGTCTGCTTCAGCAACTCACCTTGGATTGACCACTCAGGTCTTGTCCTCACCTGGAGCTAACTGATACACCTTACCTGGAATCTCAAATATCAATGCCCTCCTCTCCAAACATACCCTTCTATTCGGCTTCCCATCTTACTGATAGCATAATCTTTAGTTTCTTGATTCCTACCTCTCCTTTTCCAAACTTTTTTGGTCCCCTCTTAAAATCACTTCCTCACCATTCATTCCAGATCCTACGAATCTCACTTCTATTAATCTCGTATCAACAACCATAGTTTACCTGACCTGTTCAATTCTCTTTAGCACCTTGCAAGCTTACAATTCTGGACTCAATCACACTCTTCTGTTTTATACTTCTTTACCCAAGCAGGGTAAGTGGTGCTGAAAAAAAATCACACAAAATATAGGTACTAGTACCTCTGTGAATATAGAAACCCAGTCTTAACTATACCCTCAAATCCTGTGTACTGTTTCTCACTTCTCTTATTTCCTTTGAAAACTGTTAAGCTCCTCTCTTTCAGAAAATGGCTTTGTTAATTTGTCATTTCACAGAGAACGTAGGAACTATCAGAAATAAACTTTCCTTAACTCTTCCCCGGCAGCATTTCTTCCCTCCCAGATACAAAGGCAGTCGTTTCCACTCTTATCGCTACATCTTTCTCCTTGGCCTTTCTTCCTGTTATGCAAATTACACTTGAGACTCAACCCCTTTCTTTTTCCTTGGGGATTGTGTAGCCTCAGTTATCCCATCTTCCCCTTAAGTTTTTGTGCTTGGTTTAAGGACTGTTTTGAGTTACACCCACTTAAAAAATGAAATACCAGAGCGTACCCCCACACACCTTGGCTCTGATTCTGTGCCAACACCCTATCTTCTCCTCTTTACAGAGAAGCTTGAGGCCTCTGCTTCCTTGCTGCTTCCCTGTTCTGTTGCTTTTATTTATTGTTTCAAAGTCCCATCCTCTGTGTAACCCATCAGACACTGGTTTAGGACACCACGTCATCAGACTTGATTTTACCAATGTCGAAATTTCCAAATCCAGTAGTCACTTTTCAGTATTTATCTTACTTATTTTTTTTTTTTGCTTTATTTTTGATGTTGTTAACAACGCTCTGGAAACTTTCTTCTTGTTTTTTTCTTTTCTTTTTATTTTTTTGATTGCACTAGTCTTTTCTGTTCCTCTCCTAAATCTCTTAGAATCTTTGTGGAATTTTTTAGCTATGTTATTTTTCCCTTCTCTTTTACTATATTTTATTTTTTAAATTATACTTGACATACAATTTATGTTACTTTCAAGTGTACAATGTACTGATTCAACATTTATATATCTTACAAAGTAATCATCATAATAATTCTACCATCTGTCACCATTCAAAGTTATTATATTATTAACTATACAGGGTCTGTCCAGAAAAAGTCCAGCCATTGTTAATATAACAAAAATGGTTTGTGTGACATCAGTGTAACCTGCCAAGGAGAGTGGACTGGAATGTGCATGTGTGAACAATGATGACTTCAGTCTTCTAGTCAGTGGGGAGAGTAAATGCTGTTGAGTGAGCACATATACTGTGTGGCCATTGCATTTAAAATGACTGAGCAAGTAGAGCAACAAATCTGGATCAGATTTTGTGTTAAGCTTGAACATTCCTTCATGGAAATGATTTGGATGATTTAGAAGTCCACAGCTATGGGCAACTGGTGATTGGCAGCTTTATCACGACAATGCACCCATTCATGCATCATGTCTCATGTAGAGTTTTTCACAAAACATCAAATCACCCAGGTGACTCAATTACCCTACAGCCCAGTTTTGTCACCCTATGACTTCTTGCTTTTCCCAAAACGAAAATTACGTTTGAAAGGGAAGAGGTTTCAGACCATCAGTGAGATTCAGGTAAATATGACCGGGCAGCTGATGGCAATTGGGAGAACTGTGAGGTCCCAAGTTGTCTACTTTGAAGGAGACTGAGGTGTCATTGTCCTACATTCAAGTTTCTTGTATCTTGTATCTTTTTCAATAAATGTATCTATTTTTCATATTACATGGCTGGATAACTTCTGGACAGACCTCATATTCCCTATGCTGTACATTATATCCCTGTGATTTATTTTATAACTGGAAGTTTGTACTTTTTAATCTCCTTTTAAAATATTGGTGTTCTTAAGATTCAAACTCCCTGAATCTCTTTTCTTCTCAGTCTGTATACTGTCCTGTATGGTGTATTCTGTGACCATGGCTTCAACTATCACCTGTATATCAATGATACTCTAATACAGAGGAGTGACTTTTCTGAGGGGGTTAGGATCTAAAGTCAGTGTGAAAGGCAAGAATAGAGTTAAAAGTACCTTTGAAAAACTCTGAATACTGTACACATGATTTTGAATATATATACTTTCAATCAAGAAATCCTACACAGCCAGCTTTCCTCTGCTATTGGAACAGAAGGCTGTTTCTTGAGTAGAATACCAGATGAAGTTGTTGGCTTGCATTTAAGGGCCAAGTTATAAGAAAAATATGTTTTTGTTTTTTTGCCAAGCACACATAGTAGAGTGAATATAAGTTAAGTAAGTGTAGGAGATAACTTCACTGTACATATTTTCAGGCTGACCTCTTCCGTGAGTTCTGGACTTATACACTAAACTGCTGAATGGATGTTGCCTTTTGGATATGCCAATCCAGATTGTTTTAGTTAGATTTCTGAAAACTGAAGAAATGCGATAACTTACATTCTACTTAGCAAAAGCATTTGTTGAAAGCACATAGTGATGTCACAAAGACACAGCTCACGTGTGGATCGTTTTCATATCATCTGGATTGATGTTCTCATTCTAGGGACATGCCCTCTAGCACCACACAGCTGTCCACACACCTGTCTGCCCAGCTGGAGCCACAGGCAGATTCAGATTGGTGGAATCTCTAGACCAAGCATCACACAAGCCATTAACTTCTGGTTGAACAGCTGTATTGGAATTAGTGTATAAGAAAGTATTTCAATTCTTTACTGGTCCTTTCATGTGCTGTACTTCACCCGTGCTACAGAGCATCCTCATGAGGCCACCATGACAAATCAAAGAAGCAAAATCCCACTATTTTCCCACTGACCATACTGAACATCTGACTAACCCAAGTAAAGTGTGGTGTGTGTATTGAGTGCTAATATCAGAGTCAAGTCTATATGGAAATAAGATTTACCTCTTCTGTATTACATACACCAAACAGCATAAATATTGAAAAGCATCAGCCCTGACAGGTGTGGCTCAGTTGGTTGAACATCCTCCTGCAAATGTTGCTGGTTCGATCTTCAGTCAGGGCACATGTCTGGGTTGTGGACCAGTCCCTAGTTGGGGCATATGCAAGAGGCAACTGATCAATGTTTCACACACTTTCTCCTTCCACTCCCCTCTAAAAATAAAATCTTAAAAAAAAATTTAAAAGCATCATAATACAAAGCAGTCAAACATTACATTAAAAGCAGTAGCAATACTACTCAACAGTGTCCTGTTTCACTTCACATTTAGCATTTTAACAACATTACAATTACAATGGAACTGGACATTTTTCATGGTGTCCTTTTTTTCCCCCATCACTACTTATGTTACATAATGTACCTTTTAATGTACCTTGAGTATATATGGAATAATGATGTCTCTACATTCTTTTACGATCTATGCCTACAAACTTACATTATCAGCCCTCTAATTTTGTAACTGAAAGCAGGTCAGGCTACCTGTCGCTACAAAAGCCAGTACTCAAGAGGCAGGTGCTGATGTAAAGGAAAGTGGTTTATTTGCAGGTGCTGGCCATCTGGAAGATGGGGGACTCATGTCTCAAAGCCCATCCCCTGGGAAGATGGGGGTCTCATATCTCAAAGCCCATCTCCACCTGTCAGTGGAGGCAGAGATTTTTATAAGGAGGAAGCAGGGAATAGAACAAAGAAATTAAGGGAGGGGGATGAAAAGTTCTCTACGTGCAGACAAGCACAGTCCATTCTGATAAAGCAAATGATGGTCCGGTGTGCGTCATCCCAGTGCAGTCATCCTGGCTTCACGTCATCCTGGCTCCATGGTTGACGGTCAGCAAATCTCCTGGAACTGAGATGCTTGAAGGTCAAAGTCTGTATCTTTGGAAATTATTCCCTAGGATACTTATACAAACATGCTGTTCATCGATAAGCTACACATTAATCAGAGTCAGCACTTACAGAAACACTGTCAAAAAAATGTTAGAGTGGGTTACAATTTCCACCATTACAATTTTCCACTGTTACAATGTGAAGAAGACTGAACCGTATAGGGGCATTCTCCATAGCCATCTCTGGGTTGCAGAAGGTAGGAAATCACACATTTGGAATGTCCTATAATCATCCTTTGATGACCATCACATTTTGGCTTTTCTTTGAAGTTGACCTCTTTACCTCCATTGTTATTCCATTTATAGAGCAACAGGATATAATCTGTATGAAGATAACATTCCTTTCTTTGTGTCAACTACATATTCAGTAATGTTAAGATCATAAATAATTTGCTCTCATTTAAAATCACAGATGGCAATGTTAATTTTTATTTATTTATTTTTCTCAATGTTTATTTGTTTTTAATTTTTATATTTATTTATTTATTTTTTTAAAAGATTTTATTTATTTATCTTTAGAGGGGAAGGGAAGGAGAGAGGGAGAGAAACATCAATGTATGGTTGCCTTTCGTGCGTCCCCTGCTGGGAACTGGCCTGCAGGGAACCTGCCTGCAACCCTGGCATGTGCCCTGACTGGGAATCGAACCGCGATTGTCTGGTTCGCAGGCCCGTGCTCAATCCACTGAGCTACACCAGCCAGGGCTAATTTTTATTTTTCTTAAATTTATTAATTATAGAGAGAGACATAGGAAGAGGGAAGGGAGTGGGGAAAGAGAAAGAGAGAGAAACATCAGTTTGTTGTTCTACTTATTTATGCATTCATTGGTTGCTTCTTGTATGTGTTCTGACAGGAGATTGAACCCACAACCTTGGTGTATCAGGACGATGCCCTAACTAACTACCCAGTCAGGGCCTCAATATTAATTTTTTAAATTGAGGATAGCATTCTTTATTTTTATTATAAAAAGTAATAAAAACAATAAAAGTAAAAAAATTGATACTAATTAAATCTGAAATATAAAAAATAAGTATGAAAAACAAAAGTAATTCATAATCCCTTTACTTAGGGATAACCATTATTAATTTTTGGTTATAAGCTTTACCGTTTTCCTATAGGAACATAAATGAGGTCATACTTTAACATGTTGTTCGTACTTGGCCATTTTTCCAGGTTAGGAAAACAGAGATTACATGATCATAATAATATTTGTATTATGCCATTGCCTCTGTGTATCAATCCAATAAATTTGAAAATATATATCTTTTTGTTCTCCACAGCTCTGCAAAACTGGGATTATTGCTAATTCTATTTTATAGAAATATAGATGCTAAGATTCAGATTAAGTGGCTATATGAAATCTACATACCAAGTAAGTGTCAGAAATAAAGCTTGCTCTATGTCTCCTTGGCTCCAAAGTGGTGCCCTCTTCACAGGGTGACTCCTGTCTCTCTAATGAGATAATGCAGATGAAGGGGCTGTGAGACTGTATGTTGTTATTTATTTTAAGAGAGAAGCTAAAGAGAGTCACTGCCTTAGGAGCAACATCTGATTTGGCCTAAATTTTGGGCAGTTTTCTGAATTAAATATGTACAAAGGCTCTCCAAGCTGCAAACTCAATTTATCTTAATGTAAACATCATTATAACACACCAATATCAATACACAGTGAATCCTACAATGAAAATTAATTCCCGATTCGTAAAGATAGCCATGCCACATTAAAGAACAAAATTTTCTCTACATTAGAATCATTAAATAAGACAAGCTCTAAGCTAAGAAATGTGATATATAATCATAGAACACAATTTTTATTTCCATATTGATCATAAAACATCTAATTTACATCCATAGCTACTGCAACATGTTAGGAAATTCATCTCTACCAGCAGTATATATTTAAAAATTGAATTTAAAACTATTTTACATGCAGTAAAATCTATCCTTTTTATGAGTTTTGGTAAACAAAACAGTGGTATAATGACTAACATAATGAAGATATAAAACAGTTCTACCACCCCGCCCCCACTCCAAATCCCCTCATGCTTCTCTTTGGTAGCCCTTTCCCCTAGTCACCATTGATCAGTGTCCCTTTTTAAGTCCTTTTTATTCTCAGTAACTACAGACTCACAGGAAATTGCAAACATAGTACATTAGAGTCCCACATACCTGTCACCTAATGTACCTTTCTCTAATGGTGACTTTTAACATAACTCTCATACGAGATAAAAACCATGCCCTGTACTTTTGAAGGCAGGTTTTCCTTTCATTCCTTGCCTGTGTTTACTCTTTACTTTTCACACTAGTTTGATTCTGCTGTGTTAAAAGAAGCAGATGCTAGTTTCCCCTCAAATGTCTGCTGTTGCATTTTCCGTATTTCAGTTAGATCGCCTTTAATTCTCCTACATCTTTCGCCAGCTTTTTCTTTATCCCACCGTTTCCCCCTAATTTAATTCTGCTGCTAGATTTTTTTTTCTTTCTGATATATGTGGCGTGGATTATCAATTCGATTTCTAATTTCTACGTCGGTGCTTCAGTTTGGTCCTTTCGTTTTAATAGCGGGGGACAGGAGGTGGGGACTGGTTAGTCCTGCTTGGGCCTTTGCAGTGTTCCTCTGTTAGCTGGCGTGGTTCTCCAAGCTCTTAGATGCTAGTGGCACTGCATAGTTCAGTCCTGTTCTAGCTCTACTCTATCTCCACTGGTCATCCTTTCATTTTTCGGCTATTTTGCTAATGTCGATAGTTTGCAGACGCCCCCCTGGTTTCAGCTTGAATCCCCCACCTCCGTCAGTGGGCCGCCTTTGTGCTTCCCAGAGCGTACAGACTTCCGTTCCGGGGACTGCCGGAGACGTGAGGGGCGGGGACTGGCCAACTTGGAGGTCACACCTCCAGGCCCTCGCTTAGCGCGCGGGGACTAGAGTGTCAGCCTTCAGCTCTAGCCCAGCATCCTGGTGCGCGGGAGGCGCTGCGCGCATGCTCCAACTGGGTTGCGCGCGGCGGCGGCAGCTGGGGGAGGGGCTGACGGAGGGGCTGGGCAGCTCCACTGCTGTACCTCCCTCCACCGTGGCTCTATTCCTACGCCACCACCCTGTGGTTCCCTGGGGTCGTCCCACTCCTCCCTGAGGCCGCAGGCGGGGCGGTAGCCTGTGCAGTTAAGGGTACCTCGCCCTGGCTCCCCTCCCCCAGCCCTGTCGCCCCGCCCTCCCGGGGCTGGGCGGCTGGGCCGGGCCGAGCGGAGCGGGGTGAGTATTCCCAGAGTCTTTACGGGCCGCCTCTTCCCAGACCGGCTCCCCGCACGGCCTTCTACACTCGGAGACTCGGGGAAGGGGCGGGGGTGGGTGGGCGGGGACGAGCCCAGCCCCGAACAAAAGGCCGGGGAAGGGGCGTCCGCTGGAGAAATGCAGGCACTGTACCCGTTGTTGCGGCAGAGCTGCATTTCGGAGTGATCCGTGGTCCGGGGTGGGGAGTGGGGGGAGGAGCCCCCTTTCCCGGGGATTGGGCTGGGCCGGGCCGTGCGCGCTCTGGGGCCGCTGCTTGGGCCTCCCCGTCGACTTTGGTAGTTAATGCCTTGTGGTTAAAGCTTGCTAGGGAATAGTAAGTCTTTATCCTTGTAACCTTGAAACAAAGGGCATTAAATTACTGGAAAGTACAGTGGGCAAGCCCCACTTAGCTTGAAGGGGTTTCAGGTGGATTGTCAGAAGGAATAACCTAACATGTATAAACTACCCCTCCCCCCCCTCCCCCAAGTAACCTGTGTACTCATAGCATCTGAAATCACGAGAGGGTGGGGCGTGCAGGAATAGTTAACTGATTTATAGAAACACTGTGGTTAAAATAAAAAGACATTTCGGAAAGGCAAAAGGATAGCTACATATCTTTTCAAAGTCAAAATGGAGTCTGGTCTCTAACACGCCCACCTGCGGACGAATTCGTTATTTAGGGGACTGTACTTTGCTTGACATAATATTGATTACAGCCCCAGCTGTGTAGTTACTTTTTTGTTTTTCTTGTTTGAGATGCAAATTATTTCTCAGTGGGAGAACAAAATACAGAAGGTTGTGGTTTTATTGCCCTATTTCCAAGATTTTTATAATTTTTACCATTCAGCTTGTTCCTTCACTGTAAGTTCAATAAATCTTTGGTACAGGTTCACTTTGTTTTTATGAATCATGTTTCTAAGTTTTAAAACATTACAATCTGACAGTGGCTTCCACTTAGTGGCAAGGGCTTACATTTGTACTTTTCAGGACTGGAAAACACAGCCCTGTTTCATACTCAGCTACGTCGTGGGACCTTTCCTTCTTGCTTCTGAAGGGTCGAATGTGGACAAGAAGAAACATTTACAAAATGAAAACTTGACACCCAACTCCCCCCCCCCCAATGTTGAGTACTGGGAAATTCGAATGAAAGTCTTGCAGTTACAAGGTTTAAGTTTGTTACTGATACTTTAATGGAGGAAACTAGTGGAAGCAGTTTCCACCAGTTCTCAAATGGCTTCATTTGGAGGTGGAAGTTACCAGATTATTTCCCCACCCACTTTTCTCTCCTCCCCACTTCCTTTCCCCCTTTATTTAGGATAAGGTTAACTGAGATTTTACTATATGATGAAGCCATTGAGTTGGGCAAACATGTTTTGTGACAAATTATAAAGTGGTAGCTGTTCCTAATGCTTACATATCTACGAGACAAGATACCCAACCCCTTAGGAAAAGCAAGAGGGTAAAGTTTATGTACGTAGATTATTTAAGACTGGGCTTGATTTTATTAATATCATTGAACTCCAGAAATGTGTTTTGGGAGTCTAGAAGCATGGTTTGAATCATACACTTAGGGAATCATAACAACAAAGCACCATAGAGATTATTTGGTGATTATCCCTTGAAAACAGATGTCTTCAAGTGTCAAGCAGGCTGAGTATAAAATGATTGGAAAGTAGGGGAATAGAGAATAAACCCTACCTAAAAGCATCCAGATTAGGGAAAGGTTGCTAAAAACTGCAGAATCAGAGTCTCCGCTAATGTACGAGGCACCCCAAACCTTAAGGGCTTGACCTCCTTCCTAGGTTTGTGGGACCCAGGAAGAGACTTCACTAAAGTGAATTTATCACTGTCATATAATAGCTTTCAGAGAAAAACTTTTTAGTCATCTCTTTTGAGCTCAGCCATTGACCTGCAATGGTTTCCTGTTGGTCACTGCTTAAATGGAATATTTTTACAGAGTTTTAAGAGTATTTGTAAACTGCCCCCCTTTTTTCTTGTATTTTATAATCTGTATGCCCCAGTTAGACTCTTTTCCTGTCTACCCTGCCTCATTTCAAACTCATTCTACCACCTCTACCCACGAATAATCCTTGTCATCCAATTATTTATTGTACTTCTTCCTTTCAGTATCTTCTTATAATTCTTAAAATTAATTCAAGAATTATCTGAAGTATAACTTCAGACTGACTTAGGTCAAATCGCCACATTTAACAGCTGTGTTACCTTGGACAAATTACATAACCTCTCTGTCCCAATTTCCTCATCTGTAAAATGGAGAAAATCATAGTAAGTACCTCAGGGTTTCAATGAAGTTTCAACAAGTTGGTACAGTTTTTGACATGTTGTAAGAGCTCAATACATGCTACTAGAATTATTATTTTAATCCATATTCTTTAAACAGTGGTTAAACAATTTATCACTAGATTTTGCTGTCTTTTATTTCTAATGGTCTTTTCAGTTTGAATCTTTTCTTACAAATTCGATTACAAATTGTCGAGGCAAAGACCGTACATTATATTCATCTTGAAAAGTTGCTGAAAGTTCTTCCAGGATGATTTTAAGGACTCAATACATTTTTTCCTATTGTACTATCTAATATTCTTTTCTTCCTGTTCTCCATTTTAGTTTGTTGCTTATATTTTAAAATTTATCACTATTTGTTTCTAAAAGTATTTGAGTTAGCTTATAATCTATATATAACATAATAACATACAAAATAAAGATAAATCAGGGTCTTGAAAATAGAAAGCTTGAATAGAAAGACTGGAGTGTAGTATACTGAAATACATACCATGAAAAGTTGTATAATTGTTAAAGATGGACCACAACTAAGTTCTCAGGTTCATGATGGTCAGAGGAAAGAACACAGCATTCTACTTGTTCAGGAAAAAACACAGCTTCTTTGGAAGTAAATGTTTTGTGAGTGAAATGTAGCTTGTGATAGATTTCAAAACTAGGCTAAGAAACCCTAGAGTTAATTTCTCTGGACTTCGCTAAACCCTAGCCTACTTCCCAATGTTTTTTCAAAGGGGTCTTAAGTGGCATTTTTATGGGACTGTCTCATACCTTGTAGGATGCTTATTGTACCTCATTCCCAAACATTAACCAGCGATAACAAAAATGTAGCCCCTGCTTTCTGTCATAGCCAAGTATGATCCCACTCATTTCCAAACAGCTCCTTTAAAACTGGTCCCTCCTTATGCTGGGAACCATTGAACCTCATCTGCTCATATTTTACCAGCCTATGCTCCATCTACCACCACTTTTAAAATTTTTTAAAATTTAGCACACTCTTTTTAGGCCTTGTCTTACAGGAGCTGTTCCATCTTTTGGGCGTGCCTTTCTTTGTCTCCACTTTTTAGGCCCTTATTCAGATTCAAAATTCACTTCTTCAGAAATGGAACTCAGGCCTTCCAGACTCCCTTTTTTGGGGGGTCTTTTCTGATTTCACCAGGAAAAGTTTGATATTCCTTTCTATAAGGACACACATAGAAAGCACTAGGATATTATAGATGCTGAGTGAATGAATAAAAAGCTTGTGGAGATAAAAAGGCACATTAATCTAGTCTTCAGCGAAAACTTTGCAAAAAGAAAAAACTAAAGGAATTGTCGATTCTGTTACAAAAATATCCAACCACTTATTTTCTTTTCAAAAAATGTAACGGTACTTGGTGGTATATTTGAAAAACAGCTCTATTATCTACATTTAGACTAACACCGAGTCTGTAGCTTATAAAACAGTGTTAATCATCTTCTTTACCTTTTTGCTTGTTGAATATAGCATTATTCTTGGCCATTCTTGGTTCTGACTAAAGTTAAGTCCCTCTATTCAAAGACAGCAAGAGAGTTTGAGCTAGTGGATCAGCTCAAACTAGTGGTGGAACAACTTTTCATGTATTTTCAGAGAAATCTCGTTTTATATTAAGAGATGATAACCTTCTGGTACAAGTAATGACATGGGTATCAGAAAGCTTGGATGTCATAAATGTGTTGGTTAAATGGGAAGAGATACAACTTGTCTATGGGCTTGAAAGTTGATTAGGATAAAGATACTATAAAGAGGTAGGGATATGTACTGATAGAATAAATTCATTAAAATTTTTCAGTTTTTCTTGGACTTATTACAACTTTTATTTAATGTTTACAGTGTGCCTAGCTCTGTTATAAGCATTAAGGTACAGAAGGTTAAGTCAGAAGCCCTCAGATGTTTAGACATTTTATTGCTCTTTGCTGTCGAGCAGATGGGTGAGGCTACCCTTGATTTTGTTTCTTTGTAGGTTAACTGATTTTTCTGCATGCATTTTTGTTTTTACTTTAAATTTTTATTTTTGAGATATTCCACTGGTCTATCTCTGGACTTAGGTTTCTTTCCAACTGTTTTCTCAGAAACATAGTGAATTCTTTCAACTAATGGGAATAAATCTTGTTTGTTTGTTTTTTTATTCCTTTTTGTTGGAAGTAAATCTTTTTAATCCCTTTTTTTTCTAGCTCAGGAGTAATTTTTCAATTTTATGTTTGCTTATACGATTTCAGTTCAGCAAGGCCAGTTGTTTGTAGGTTAGATCTGTGTTCTTTGTACTTCTGTC